TGGCTGAAATTCCTCCCAGCTGTCTGATGTGATGCCCCCTGCGTGGGAGCTCTAGGCCCTCAGGCCTAAGATGGGTTGAGAATGGACAGCTGTAACTTTGAATTTTGTTGGCTTTTGATGGTCATGCTACTCCTAGTGTTACTGTCAGACCTTCTGTTAGTAGCCTTGCTTTCTGTAGAGCATGCACCAAATTCACTGAGTCCACATGGAAAGAGCACCGTGGGCAGTGGCAGCAGCACAAGAGTCCACGAGGAAAACTCCTGGTGATGATCTGACGTTTGCATTTGCCCTACACAGAAATTTAGAGGTTTCTGAATCAAGCTTAATGTTTACAGTTCCCAATAGCCATCTTGCAGTGTATAGTTCCTTATAAAACTAGCCCGCATTCAATTTTCCCATTATGTGCAAGCTCAAACTTATTTTTAAGGTTTGTGTACAAGTCGACTGCTGTAAAGATATATATTTTTGGGTCAGTTTTTTTTCCTTCATTAACTTGTTGGTAGAAAAATATATATACTTAGAAATCTTTAAATTAAAGCCATGTTTTATATATAAGTCAGGTAACATTGGTGTATAGATGAGAATGCAATTAAACCTGATGAGAATCTACTTGAGGAGAATATAGAAAGTCTCTTTCTCTAAAGGAGATACTTACTCCCTGGTTTATTGCATTAAAACTTATGTTTGAGGTTACCTCAACTTGTTTTAAAAGATTTTGTTTTGTGAATTTGTACTGTATATTTGAGTAACTGTCAAGCTTCTGTTTTATTTAAAATTGTTTAACATGTACCATGTACATGTCATTACTATATTTCAATGCATCATGCTTGTAACAGGCATTTCATTTATAATAAGAATGAGTTATTCATTTGTAAGCCGTTCAGTAATTTATCTACTATTCCTAAATTGGCATAATGTTAGATATCTCTTTTAAATCACCTTTAATTACATGTCAGAATGCCTTAACTACCCTAACTTGACAAAACAGAATTCTTTGGTAGAGGAGATGGGGGTGGGGCGGGGAGGTGGAGGGAGACTCTGTTTAAATAATGAGAACCCATTGTGCTACGATAAAACACGGAAGCGTGAGTGGCAAGTGGCAGGGTATTTATTTTGCACAAACTATTTGCAGTCTCTGTGTATTTAAAAAGTAAAGAAAGTTGCATCCAGAAGGGTTTTGTTGGAAGGAATACATTTATACTTGGGCTGACGACTTTAGTTCTTTTGTCTGGGTTTTTGATTATTTCTGGTCAGAGGTATGTAGCCTTATGATCTGGGTATATTTTGCATTAATTTTCCAATGCCTACATTTAATTCCTGGTAAGAGCAGTGCTGGTCAAGTCACTGGCTTTTCTCTGCTCTCATTTAACCCATCAAACACAATCTTTGTAAAGCTAGATTGGTGGTGGTTTACACAACTCATTTAATCAACTTAGTCTTTTTTGAGAAATGACTGTTAGAAATCAGCAATGTATTTGTTCCAGTGACATTGAAAATAGTGGGAGAAGAATTGAGTTTCACAATTCAACTGACTTTGGACCTGGCCTGTAGATTAGTGACACAGTATTTTCTCTATTTTCTTTTTCCCCTGTCCTTTTTGTTTTATGCACTTAATTTTATGACCGCCGGGGGTCAGTTGGAGTGCTGCTTAACAAGTAACTCTCCTTCCACTCTCAGTGGTCAGAGGCTGTGTTGGACCCATACTGGAATTTTCTAGATCACAGGACCCAAGTCTCTGTGGGGTGTGACTGAGATATACCACTTGATGGGTCTGATTCTTAACTTGATGTGTGTGTTAACTGTATCTTAAATCAAGCAGTATAAAAACAGACACACATTTGCCTCATGTAATGGACTTTTATAACAAAAGAGAATTTGGATTTCTAATTTACAAATGGCAAATTATTTATCTCTCTCTGGATGCACCAAAGACCAGTAAAGTTTATAGCTTTTCCATCTATATTTATAAAGCAATATTGTATTATAAAAATCAATATTTTTATCACATGCTTGAAATTTTTATTTTGTTCTGTTTTAAAATGTGCACTCTAAACATATCAGAACCTTATTTCTTCCTGTGAACTTAAGCTGCCTGCGCACAAAAAAATTTACCGAACAGATATTCAGTAGAGGCCATAGGCCCTTAAAAACTAAAAGAAGAAATGAGGGGGGAAAACAAGTTATTTGTCCTGGATTACTGTACTGGCTTGACATGGTTGATGGGTACTAAAACACAAAAGAATCCATTCCAGGTGTGCATGTCTGGGGGTTGGGCTGTGTCTAGACTAGAGACTAGATGTCAAGCTCTGCATGATGGGAGAGTGTCCTCTCGTCTCAGCTGCTTTTGTTCTGGTAGAACAGTAGCCTTCAGTACCACCTTCAGTACCACCAACCTACCACAGCAAGTAACAAGGCAGGAATTGTGAGAATTGACTGAGTCAGTTTTGAGCGTTTTGGAGATTGTAAGCAGGATGGGCTAGAACTGTAAATGTTTGTACTTTTGAATAAGTTCATGGTTCCTTGTCACCTTATACCAGCTATCTTTGGTAGAAGCTACAGCATCCAATTTCCCTGGAAACTATCACGTTTTTGCATTTAACAGATTTTACAATATTAAAAAAACAAAATCTGCTTATAAAGCTGAAAATATAAAGCAGAAAAAATTTGGATTGTTTGTAAAAACAAAATTAAATTCATTGCAAAATTGAACTTCTTAACTAAAAATCAACAGTGTCCATGTCAAAATTTTAACTGTTAGCAGGTTGTTTGTGGCAAAGATGGCTAAATAATGAAGTAAATTTGAATTATGTATACTAATGAGCTGCTTTTTTCTGTTGAGACTATCATTATTTGTCTTACCCAAGAGGCAATGACCTGAATTGGATGTCTGAAATATAACTTATGCAGGAATAGTTCTGTAAATACATTTAAATAAACTGTAAAGATATTTAATAAATATAGTATTTATACTAATCTGTGTACTCCTTTTAATTTGAATAGTAACTAAATAAGACACCAGCCCTTGACATTGAGTTTGTTCGTCTCTATTGAGTCCTCATGTCTAAGCCTCTTAGTCAGTCTAGCAGTGACCCTGGACTTCGTTGCTGTCATTTTCTTTTACTAGTTTATCCACCTTAGCTCTTTTTCACCAGCTGGTTTACTACATCAGTTTAGCTTCCTCAAAAATTCATCAGGGGTGGCCCCGTGGCTTAGCGTTAAGTGCGTGTGCTCTGCTGCTGGCGGCCCGGGTTCGGATCCTGGGCCCGCACCGATGCACCGCTTCTCCGGCCGTGCTGAGGCTGCGTCCCACATACAGCAACTAGAAGGATGTGCAGCTATGACATACAACTATCTACTGGGGCTTTGGGGGGGGGAAATAAATAAATAAAATTATTAAAAAAAAAAATTTCATCAGACTGGGGGCCGGCCCCGTGGCGTAGTGGTTAAGTGTGCGGTCCCGGGCACGCACCCATGCACTGCTTGTCGGGCCATGCTGTGGCAGCGTCCCACATAAAGTGGAGGAAGATGGGCACAGTTGTTAGCCCAGGGCCAGTCTTCCTCAGCAAAAAGAGGAGGATTGGCATGGATGTTAGCTCAGGGCTGATCTGCACCAAAAAAAAAAAAAAAAATCATCAGACTGGACTGATAATTGAATGTAAAATACATGTTTTCCCAGCTAAGAAGGCTTTTGCATCTTCCAAATAGTATGGAGTGAAGCCACAAAAAAAATCTGGTGTCATTTAAATTTAGTATTCTGTATCCAAATTCTAAAATCCAAATTATATACAATTTAACAGTATAAATATCTTTTACAGACCGGTCAGTGCTGCATCCAGGCGATTACTGATGATGCCTTCACAACCTAAACCCCCGCTGCCTGTTTCAGTGAACCAGAAACTTGATCCTCAGCAAGGAGACCTACAGTTACTCTTGTGTATAAACGTTCTCTGTGTAGTCATCTGCATTTATTAGGAATATGTGAAATTCAGTGTTAATCATCAGTGTAAGCATAAGATACATGAATTTTTAGCCTACAGTGTGAAATGACTTCTTGAAATTATGTGGGCATTGCCAATTTCCACAAAAAGCTTGGTGAAAGCCCATTTTCATTCACTGAGGAACATTTTGGGATAACTTGGGTTTTTATTGGGTTATTGTGGGTAGCTCTGACTCATTACCAAGGTACAAGAGCCAAATTCATTCTGGTTTTAGTTAGAACTCTATTCCCAGTTCTAGTTTCCTAATCCACTCAGCCACCTTTTGTTTATGAAGTCTTCACGAATCTAAAGTACAATTGCTTGCCAGTTAACATTTCCTTGTGATTCCATGGTTTCATAAAGACTTAACAATGTTACAGAAGTCTAGTTTGTCAGGTTATGATTGGCTGTAAACAGGTTTGGGGGAGGGAGAGGCACGCATCATAAGATATTACATAACAATGTTTTTGTGCCGGATTTTTTTAGTCTGTGCAGGTGAGAAGCTAATTCTTAAAGGGGCAAAGAACAGAGACATTTATCTTCCACCTCATTCCACTCCAAACCCAGGCTGTCTTGGCAGTGGAGGTTGCTGCTCTATGTCAGATAATACAGAGATAAATTTTTGGCATCACCTCCATTAAATTCTTTCTGAATCACACTGCAAAATTTCAAAATCACATCTGAAAACTGGAACAATTTAAGGCTATAAAATAAAATTTTACAATATATACAAAGATTCCAAAGTGAAGGGGGTAGCTATAGATTTTCATTCTTGACCTTTTTTTCCAGGGGTTATTTTATTTAAAATCTTAACAAAATATAAAAAGCAATGGACAAAAAAAATTCATGGCATTTTACATGAGTAAAGACTTGCATAACTTTTTACTATGTCTGAAAGTACCAAAATGAAATGTTAGTAATCAAATACAAAAGGTATCTACTTGTCACAGAACTATAAGCCATTTTGATGCACTCCACATGGCTGCTGAAGAAAGTTTAAATACCTTTATAAAACTGGCAAAGGAAATGCTGAAAGTTCTAGTGTGAATGTGCATTGAATTGAAGAATTCTGATGAGCTTTTTCCCTGCACAGAAAACGCTTCTGCCTCCCAAGTAGCATAATGGATGTAAAGCAAATTACCTACACTTGACAAGCAGCTATTTCTAGATATGGTTGTTGTGCAAGATGATGTTCAGAAAAGCAGAAGCCCATCCTCCATTTCAAGGCAGTCCAACACAGTATCTTTATAGATTAAGTGTGAAAACTTGTTTGAGATGCACGTGAGCTAGGAAATGGCCTGGGGGCCAACTCAGTCATCATTAAGTGTTAGAATGTGGAAAAACTGCCAGTATTCACGTCTTCTTCTCTGTCACTTGCTGTTGCCAGACTGTCGGAAGGGTGGGTGAAGTGTGGTTGGTCAGAAGAAACTGCTCCAAAGAACATGCAAGAAAACTGGAGGGAAAAAAGTAACTGCACTTTATTCAAAGGGAAAGTTAGTGCTCATTACATGCTCCAGGTGACAGCCCCTTTTCAGAAACTTGGCCAATGTGGTCTCCCTCACCTCGCTGGTGATGGTTCATGGAAGACCCGGAACTAGCCCAACACATCCTAAAACAAAACCCTTCCCTGATTCAGAGGCACACAGTCTGGGATCAGTGATGTGCCTCTGACTCCCCTGCCTAAGCATGAAAACGCACCAGGGCTGTGGGGCCACTCTGCAGGCAATCCTGCTTGACTCGGATCCATCTCCCCTTTCTCTCCTGCTGCAACAGAAGCTACCCGTCCCGACTAAAGCCAATCCTTCCCTCCCCGTCTCTGCCTCACAGCCCTTCCCATGCCTCTCCTCTACTGGATAGGAGTATCAGCATTTTAAAACAATCAAATGTCTCTCATCTTTAAAATAGATAAATAGCCTCATCCCGTTCTTCCCTCCCACTATTGCCTTACCTCTGCTGTGGAGTCATCCACACCTGCTGTCTCCATTTTCTCATTCTATTCTTCAGTCCTATCTAAAAAAGCTCCTGACCTCACCACTTCACAGAAACCGTTATTATGGTCACCACAAACGGCCACCTCCTTCAGCCAATGACCATTTTCAGTCTTCATCCCATTTGATACGCGACACTTTCTTCTTGTACCTTCCTCATGCCACACTCTCCTGGTTGCTCTTAGACTTTTCAGCTGGCTACCCCGCCTTTGAATCAGGGTTTCTCAACCTCAGCACTACTGACATTTGGGGCCTGATGATTCTTTGTTGTGGGGGCTGTCCTGTGCAGTGGAGGATACTGAGCAACATCCCTGGCCTCTACCCACTAGATGTCGGTACCCTCTGCCTGAATTGTGGAATCTAAAAGTGTCTCCAGGGGCCAGCCTGGTGGCGTAGTGGTTAAGTGCGCGTGCTCTGCTTCAGCGGCCTGGGGTTCGTGGGTTCGGATCTTGGGCGTGGACCAACACACTGCTTGTCAAGCCATGCTGTGGTGGGTCCCATATAAAGTAGAAGAAGATGGGCACGGATTTTAGCCCAGGGCCAATCTTCCTCACCAAAAAAAAAAAAAAAAAGTATCTCCAGACACTGCCCAATGTCCCCTAGGGGGCACAATCGCCCCTAGTTAAGAACCACTGCTTTAAGTAACGGCAGCCCTCTCCTCCGTACCCTCTCTCTAGGAGATTTCATTCACACCCCTGGCTGAAATTACCATCTATATGACAGGGAGTCTCAAAGTGAGAATTTGAACTTCAATCCATGTATTCTACTACCTACTTGGTTTCTGCACTTAACATATCCAAAATTGAATTCATGATCTTAGTGAACGTTGATCCTGTTTCCCCAAACCTAAGTCCTCCTTGATGCCTCCTTTCCCGTAACCCCGTAAGCAGTCCGTCACTGAGCCCTGCCCCTTTCGTCTCCTCAGTGAGCTGCCTATCTGGCCACTTCTCTCCATCTGGACTCTGAGGACTCACTGTCTCTCATGCTACAACATCTTCTCCTCTTGCCTCACTGCACCCCATTCTTCACACGGTAGCTGAGGCTAAAGTTATCTTTTAAAAATTCAACTCTGTCAGTCCTCCCTATTAAAACCCTTCAAATACTTTAAATGCCAAGGTACTTTATTTGGCTGTTGAAATGGCTTACAGGACTCTTCTGGCATGATTTGGCACTCACCAATTTCTCCAGCTTCACCCTGTGCCATTGTTTCCCCCTGGCTCTCTGCTCTCTAACCACACTGGCCAGCCTTCATTCAGTTCCTTAAAACCACCACACTCCCTCCATCACAGGGCCTTTGCACATGCCACACATCCACCCAACTCCCCACCTACTACCTTATCCTTTCCAGCTTAGCTCAAACACCAGTTTCAAAGAAAAGACTTTCTGACCTCCTGGATTAGGTCAGTTCACAACTTAAATCCTGTCAAAGCACCCTGAACTTTTCCTTTATTGAATTTATCACAGTCTTTAAAATTATCATATATTTAGTCATGTGACTGTTTAATGTCTATCTCTCCCCTAGTCTATAATCAAGTTTAGGAAGTTTTCTTGTTTATTTTGCTCACCATTGTATACCCTACCTCTATGACATGTGGCCCTCAACAAATACCTGTGGAAGTCAGATGGTAGGCAGCATGAATGAATAAATGAATGATCCCTGTTCTTGGCTCAGCCTCGTGTGTCAGGAGGTGAAGATGCCCTCTGCACAGCAGCAGCTGTGACACCAGCTGTTGAACCCTTGCTCTAGATGGAACACCCCAAGTTAGCTGTGATATTGGCTGTAGTAGGCAGAATGATGGCCCCCACAAAGATGCCCACTTCTTAATCCCAGGAACCTGTGAATATGTGATGTCACATGGCAAAGGGGAATTAAGGTAGCAGATGGAATTAAGGTTGCTTATCAGCTGACCTAGACGATCCAGGTGGGCCCATGGAATCACAAGATCCTTAGATGTGGAAGAGGGAGAAGAGTCAGCGTGAGAGTAAAGCAGTTTAAGAATGAATGACTTGACTGGCCAGTGCTGATTCTGAAGATGGAAGGGGACCACGGACCAAAGAATGCAGGTGACCTCAAGAAGCTAGGAAAGGCAAGAAAACAGATTCTCCCCTCGAGTCTCCAGAGAGGACCACAGCCCTGCTGACACCTTGATTTTAGCCTAAAAAGACCCATTTTGGACTTCTGACCTCCAGAACTGTAAGATAATAAATTTGTGTTGTTTAGCCACTAAATTTGCGGTAGTTTGTTATAGCAGCAATAGGAAACTAATACACTGCCTGTGATTGTAACTGGAGGCATGGTCTCAATTGCCTCTGAAGAGTCTAATCTTGACCAAGGTCAAAATCCCAAGGCTAGAAGTGACCTAAAGATAGTATCTGTGTCTGTTCAATGTATAATGCTGTGTGCAAATAGCTCCTCATAATGTTTATGGTGCTAATTATATTAGACTAGAAAGCTTAGGTTTACTTTGATTTTTGAAAACTGCCCTGAATTTGCTGAATTGACTTAGGGTAAATGTTATTTGCTACCCTCTCTCGTCCCACCTACCCTTTGGCCTTTAAATCTTGCGTGGCTGGATGACTGAGCCCTCCCCTGGTGTCTCACAGTCTTCTAATGGAGAAAGCTTATGAACAGCCATGCAACTGGGAATTAGCCTCAAGTCCAATATGAATTGGGTAAGAAGATAAATTATTATAAAATTTGTTTGTTTGTTTTTTGGTGAGGAAGATTAGCCCTGAGCTAACATCTGTTGCCAATCCTCCTCTTTTTTCTGAGGAAGATTGGCCCTGGGCCAACATCTGTGCCCATCTTCCTCTACTTTATATGTGGGACACTGCCACAGCATGGCTTGCGAAGTGGTGTGTAGGTCCACACTCAGGATCCAAACCCACAAACCCTGGGCCGCCAAAGGGGAGTGTGTGAACTTAACCACTATCCCACTGGGCTGGCCCCTATAAAATCTTTTTTTTAAAAAAATGTACGGGGGCCGGCCCTGTGGCTTGGTGGTTAAGTGCGCGCGCTGCGATGCTGGCGGCCCGGGTTCGGATCCCGGGTGCGCATCGAGGCACCACTTCTCCGTTCATCCTGAGGCCGAGTCCCACATGCAGCAACTAGAAGGATGTGCAGCTACGACACACAACTATCCACTGGGGCTTTGGGGGGAAAAAATAAAATAAATAAAATCTTTAAAAAAAAAAAAAAAAAAAAAAAAAATGTACGTATTTTCCCCATTTTGGTGCCCCGGAGAGCTGTGTGTAACTTCTTGTTTAAACTTATCTTATTGAAAATCCACAACGGAAAAAACCACTGGTCATTGTTTAGAATATAGTAATACTCATCTATCATAGTTTAATTGTGAAAATCCCCTTTACCTAAGTAGTATATTATCATATAGTTATTTTTTTAATAAGGTGAATTAAAATTGATTTCATTTTGGAATTTTGTGATACTACTGGAGAGATTTTAACTTTCTTAGGCTATCCCAAACCAGGGTTGAAGGTCTGTCAACCACTTGCTATGCACTAGGAATACAGAGACGAGTAAGATTCAGGCCTGCCCTCGCTGAACTCACAATATACCTAGTGGAGTAACAAGCATATATATTAAATTATTATGTGACAGTAATAATGAATAGGATCAACAAATGCTTTGAGTAGAATGAGAAGACTTCAAAAAGAGAAGTATCATTTGAACTGGGCCTTGAAGGGCGGGTAGGAGTTTAAAAGGTGGAGAAGAAAAGAATATTATCCCCCCTGGCTGTAGGAGTAATACCATGAGCAAAAGTCACACACAAAAGTGTATGCCAAACCTTTCCACTAAGGAACTAAGCAAGCATGCCTACTCTCTCCACTGCTATTCAACATTGTCCTAGAAGTTATGAGCTGATGCAGCTGAACAAAGGAGATCAACTGGAGGCATTCAAGAAGAAGTAAAACTATCTCTATATAAAGATGATAGATAGTATGTCTGGGAAACCTGAGAGAATCAATGATATAACTAATGGAAATAAAATAATTCAGCAAGGTAGTAAGATATAAAACTAACATGCGAAAAACAATAGCCTTCATATACACAAACAATAGGCAGTCAGAAAACAGAATGGTAGAGAAAACTCCATTTACAATAGTAACACAACAGGTTAATTACTTAATAACAAATGTGTAAAATCTATATAAGGAAAATTTTAAAACACTTCCGAAGGACACAAAAGTAGACCTGAACAAGTGGAAATACATTGCCTGTTTTTGGACAGAATGACTCAACATCCTAAAGATATCAGTTTTCCCCAAGTTAACAGAAATTTAAGGAAATCCCAATTAAAAAAAACCAAAAGAGTTTTTTATGGAGCTAGATAAGTTGATATTAAAGTTCAAGTGAAAAATACACATTCAGGAATAGCCAGGGAAAAAATGATAAAATCTACAAAAGGATGCTAACTCTAAACCAGACATTAAAACATACTCTGAA